AGCTTCGCCGCGCTCAATGCGCCAATGCCCTTGCTCTGAATGGGGGGGAAACATTCCTTAACATATTTATATCTTAAGCCTCCACCCCCCCTACAAAAAAAAATGGCGACGTAAATGGGCTCGTTGGGAAGCTTTCAGAACACAAGAAATTTCACACCTCAACGCCGTTCTCTTTAATCACGCTGTCTTAATATGGCGGTGACCCCTAACGCAACCAAATACCTGCCTCCTCGTTGGTCGCTTGGATATTCTGGCGGTTTAGAGACGTCCAACACAGATGGAAAGTGAGCTCACACAATCTCTACCGCTCAGGCTCTTGTGTAGTGCGTGCGTCTGTGGGGAGAGATTTGGATGCTGTGATCTGCTTCGCTTCGCCTCGACGTGATGCTCACGGTGACGTAGCGAGCGTCGCGTTTGCGTGCTACATCCGACTTTGACCTCTGTGCGCTCTGAGCCTAATGCGGATCACATCCCGCCTCGACATGCAAGTTCAAACGGAGTCAACCACCACAGGCTGTGAGAGCGTGTTTAAACCATCAAAACCATTTTATTTTATTACCATTTTTTATTATTCCCCCCCCCCCCCCTTTCTCCATTTCTCTACAAGAAATCCAACCTCAACCCTAAAAATATCCAGGATTTAATCAGCATTCAGGCCCGTGGCTTGTGGGGGGGGGCGACCTACGAATTGTCCTCTCAGCCTGAGCCAGAATCCATACACAACATGTATGGATCCATAGACAGTATGCTTGGATTCTGCAGATGCCATTGTGAACATCTCGCAGTCACTGTGCACCTACAGGCCGCTGCTTTCAACGGCACCACTGGAAACAACGGGGCGCCCATTGTTCTGCTTTGGCGGCTCAATTATTGAAGGGCAAGAATCGATAGCGTAGCTCCGGAGTATTTTTTATAAGGATCTGAGTAATGCATACAGCTCATGACAGTGTCACAGGAAATGGAGGATAATACGGTGTACACTGTGGAGAAGCAGGCGCAGGAGAAACCAAATCGATTTAATTTAATTTGGCTCAGCCCGCCTTATTTCAAGGTGGGTTTTTTCACTCAAAAGGGCAAGAAAAGGAGAATCTGGACAAAGTCTCTCTTACACTCCAGCAGGCTTCCTTCTGTTTTTCCCTTTTCTTCCTTTATTGGTCCTGGAAAGAAATTACTTGGGTTACTGGATGAATTATTTACTCAAACAATTTACTGTATCCGTCATGCGTCTCTCGCATTCCCTCTCAGTCCTTCTGTCTCTCATAAGCTCCAGATGCAAATGTGACTGTGTCCCTTTCCCCTATAAATAGCGGCCGCCAGAGGGTTTCTTCCAGGAGTCAGCCACAGTTTTTCTCCCGTACCAAAATAACCAGAGGAGGGGAGAGCAACACTGTGGCAATACAGACATTCTCACATGCAGTCGGAATACTCCATCGGCATAGAGATAAGTAAGGAGGGGAGGAAAAAAAAAGTTGAGTGATTCGTCAGCATGACCTGGAGGAGGCTCCTGATTGGACACCTCGCTGTTGGTGCTCTGTCATGATTGGTTGTTGCAACGTGCCCCAGTTTGGTGTGTGTATCTTCCCCTCATGGTTGGAGACTTGAGTTGAATCTCACAACTGTCCATGATAATAGGAACTTCCCAAATGTCCTTTCGATGATGGTCTTGTGTATTGCAGTGTTATTAACACGGATGATGAGCTGAGGCCCATTTAGAGAAATTGAGAATATTGCAACGTCTTTAGTGATTGCCTTGTAAATTTCATTGACGATTTTATAAGTTGCATGGCAACATCTTTATTTTTGCTTTTAAAAATGTGTCAATTCTTACTTAATTATTGATCATGTTTTAATCTGTTGAGTGTCTCATGCCTTCTATGCGTTTTTATCAAATGTATTTCAGGGTCATTTTGTGGTTTACAGAGCAGCGACTACATGGCTGAAGGAATGATTCAGAGGGATAAAGTGAACCACCAATAGACCGACTGTGACAGAGACACAAACACAGATATTCGGTATATCACTATTTCGCCATATTTGGTGAAGTAGATTAACAAATTGCTGCAAAATCTCACAAAATGAACGGTAGGCGCCATCTTAATGGTAAATGCATAAACAGACTACATAGATCTAGTTAGGTTGTAGTTATAAAGAAAATGATATTTTGAGAAAAAGGAATTAAATCAATTGGGATATTGTTAAGAAGCCGTATTGTGGTGTCTTTTTCCTTACAAACTACTTTTGTGAATACAGCTCATGAAAAATTAAACATTTTTCATAATTTCCTCAAGTAAATTGACAACAGCTGCATTAAAATGTGTTTTTATATATGTTTTTTTCAGTTTTCTTTACCAAGAGACACTAGTGTTCTTGAAAATGTTCATTATTTGTTAATTGACCTGATTGAATATTCATTACACACATTTGAAATGTAAAAACTATCCAAATTTTAAATGTTGATCAATAAAAACTAAAAAAAATACTAGGCTCTTTTTATGAAATAAAAAGCACTAATGTGTAAGCCTTTCTTTTTTTTTCAAACAAACTTCTAATTCCATTTACTGACAATCCAAATGTTTGGGTTTTCTGTGTTAATTAAATTTGTCACTCGGAAGGGCTCCGCTTCTACTTCCTTCCCAAAAAATGTTAACGATGAATAAACTTCTACTTTGTGGTGAAAATTCATTTGGATCTCTTCCTGGAGGATGGAGAAACGTCCTGGCAGATTTTTGGATTGAAGAAAACTCTTGTGGAGGATCTGAGCGAAAGTGACGCAAACCCCATTAATACACACTCACTCCGATCCCTTTCACTTTCATTTCAGTGGCACAACCCATAGATATTATGCAGAGGTGCACAGACAGTCCCTCCTCTCCGTCCTCATAATGGAGGCTGTATTGTTTCACAGTTGATTGTGAAGACGGCACAAAGTGATCCTGATGAAGTCTTCATTTTCCATCCTAGCAAACTAATCAATTTCATTTTTTTCCCCCTTGCCCCCCCCGCCATTCTATGCCTGCCTCCTTCTCTGTCTCTTCCTAAAAGCCCGACACAGAGCCATGAGTGAGACAAACATCCATGGAAATCATTTTATTAAAGACTGCCATCATATATCCGTGGTGCTAACACTGTGAAAGCAAAATTCATAGCAATTCAATTAACTAAAAGGAACAGGGGAATGGAAAACGTCTCTGCTGGATAATATTCGCTTTACTCGCCAAGCTTATCGGAAAAATACAAAAACAAGGACAAATGTGTGAGAAAACCCAGCTGTACAAGTGAAGAAAGTTATTTATGAAAACAAACGTGCTTGTAGTTTTGTAGATGTCGCTGCGATGTGATTGCATGGGTTTATTCATACATTCAAATCTGTCTAAGAGTGCTGGTAAAGAAATGGAGTATGTAGGGTCACGTCCGTGGAGCACAATTTGAGGAATGAGGATGAAATAGTGTTGAAAAAATAAATCCAAAATGCAGACAAAGCTATTTTGCTTGCGTAACCACAGCGCAGCCATGCACGGCCTTAAACACGGAGCGTACTGCACAATCTAAATAAATGGCAGCCTCTCGTTACTTAATGCATTCAGTCAAACAAACCTGAACTGCATTCCCCGCGAATGATATCGCTGTTGAAAATGCATGAACTCTTGTTCACAAGCCCAACCTTTTCCTGAAGAGACTGTGCTCTTGAATTGTTTAAATCCCTCTCGCTCTCCGTCTACAATTCCCACTACAGGACACAAGGCGCGAGGCCCGCGTCGCCAAGGAGTCAAGCCGCCCTGAGTCCTGAGACAGGCGGCCTATAATCCAGCGGTGTTTTCAAAGCAAGATGAAGGGGCAATGGAGTGCACACAAGTGCAGATTTTAGTGGAGCAGCTAAGCTATGGTAAAATATTTGGACCCAACAGAGCACGGATTTAGCCTCTGAAACTGCTCGCTCCACTCCACGCCATTTTTAGAGTCTGTGAATATATGGATGACTTTTGTCAAATTGGGTTTGTGCTCATTTCAAGTATTTTGCCTGTCAGAGGGGGAATGTAAGGAAAGTCTACACAATGGGATCCAATTTTGACCTTGAGAAAGAATAAAACTATTTTTTGAAACACTAGCAGAAGAAGAATTTTATTAAAATTAAATAAATGCAACTATCCAGCTGGATAATATACAGATATGTATTTTCAAAAAATAATAATTCCAAAATACTCTACAATAATATTAAGAATATTAATAAATAAAAAAGGGATTTTGCTAATGTTTGCTTGTTTTCTCTTCATTCTACAGGGAGACTAAACTAAATGGACATCAAAATCCATTTTGCCCCACAGAGGCTGCTGTGTGCGCGCTGCCTGCCATTTGCAGGCCTCTGAAGCTCCATTAGTTGGCTTGGTGAGCTCCAGCTACGGTTCCTCACGGGACAGCAAATAACAGCCCTGCTGAAGGCTCTTTGAGAATGACCGATTATACATTTGTGGGAGAAAGCTCACCGTCGAAAAAAAAGAAGGAAAAAAAAGAAAAAAGAATTCCATTGTGATTGTCCACATTCACTGAAACTGGAGGTTTAGTCTTTCCACTTTTTTGACTTCCGCGCCATATTTGCAAGTGATGAAAATGAGATTGCGAACTCCAAAGGATATTTCTGTGGACGGGCGGGCGATATTTATCTCTTTGGGTCTGTTTACCTTTTTCAACGCCGTAATATTAACAGGATTCCAACATTTAGTGCTCCAGTAATCCCGGTGATTAAGACCTGCTGACAGTTGAAGGTAAAGTTTATTGTTACTCTGGAACCCACGGTGCGCTGCCATATTAAAAACCGACTCTGCATGCAGAGCTGGCCGTGAAAGCAGACACAAGAGACGAGGCGAGATCAAAGGGCCCGGTGAGGATCTCACCACTACAGTGGTACTGTTCAGCTGGGGAATGTGTGTGTGAGCTGCTCTGTAATATAGACTCGGTTGGAAACAAAATAGCACTGTGAGAATGAATGTAGAGGGAAATAAAGATGCAGATAAAAAATGACCTTTAGTTTTTCAGACTATCTCATTACAGAGAAGATGAAAAGACCAGAATCGAAAAAGGGCTCGGAAAATACATGTTTTCATAAGATCCTCACGTTTATGTTTCTTAGGCCTATGATATCGCAGTTTGCCTTCATGTCACATAAAATTGTTGATTTAGCAACATTTTTTATATGAAATCACGAGATCTTTTGTCATTCTAGGACATTTGCTCTCCATGTACAACAACACTAATGGTTTCAAAACACGCTCACAGATCTCGATGACATTTATGTTACCCAAACTAAAGAAAATCAAAGAAACAAAAATATACATATATATTAAACAGAAATAAGAACAAAAGGAAAATAGAGATTACTGTTTGAAGCCACAAACACAGGAAGATGAATTCCACAAGTTAAAAAAAATAATAAAAAAAATAAACAGTATCCAATTTTTTTTGCTTTTCCGTCCAATGTCCAATCAGATGCTTCGGTTGGAAGATAAAATGTCACTTTTCCTGCAGGTAGCCTCTGGACATGTCATTAGGAGAGTGATTTGATGCCCCATACAGCCGCTTGGAACTATAAAGTGCAAAAAAAGTGAAAACTCATCAGTTTTCTCCAAATTTCACCGCGTCCTTGACTCAAGCTTCGGTGAGAGAGAGAGAGACAGAGGAAGACGGAGGGAGACAGAGAGAGACCGAGGGGGGCCTATAGTATTAGGCCTTTAGGTGTCACTGTACTTTCAAGAATCCGTTCTGCCCCCACACACAAACACACTGCAACAAAATGGTGTCACGTCAGGGCATCTATTGTTCGAGAACGCTTGGTTTGGCTTTCAGTCTGTCATGGCAGCACAGAGAGAGCCTGTGCTACACTGGGTTCCCCTCTCCAGGGACAGGTGATTAATGGCCCAAGCAACAACTTCAGCTTTTTTTATTTTTTTTTACAAAATCAAATTTCTCACCGAGTCGCCAATACTGACCAACTTTGACTTCCACGGTTTTGTTGTCTGCAGTCAGAACATTTAGCCTTTTTTGGGCTAAAAACTTCAGTCTTATCCTCCTTTCTTTTTTTAAACAGCAAGATCTCAACAGCAAGACATCTGCAAAGTGCCGTAGTTATAGAGCAACAACTACTTTATGAAGTGTAATTGTGACAAATTATACTGCTGTTTACTTGTAATATACCTTGTAATTCCGTTCTCGCAGAGTTAAATGCCTTTTTGAAAATGCAGTGGAAAGTAGGGAAAAAAATGAGGGATGAAAAGAAGGTTTTTTTTTAAGTCTCAACATTACACATCCAACACTGCAAGAACAAAGCCCTGCCATAAATACATCCATATGCTCTCTGTTTGTGGCTACGCATATTTCTATTCAAGGAAAAACATGCGGGTTTATGCTGAAACGTTTACTATTCAGAAAATAACCTTTGTAGATGAAAAGATTTGAAACAGTTTCTTTCCTCCCTCTCTCCCGCTTTCTCCCCTTTTTCTGTGCTTCCTCTGTCTCTCTTTCCCCCAACATTATATTACTGCTGCATCACCCCAGATAGATCTGTGGTCTATGCTGCATTCAAGACTAATCAGCCCTACCTTTGTTATTATGTTAATATAGAGACAACCCTCTGCTAAAAAAAAATGACAGGGCCCGAGAAACGGCAACAACAAACAGCGCTCTCATGACTACAAATACCACCATGAACACAAGCTAATACACCCGACACAGAGGGATTTCGGGCTGATCTGGGGAATGGGACAACCAGTGCGACACATTTAACCGATGCCTGCCCCCCCCCAAAAAACTGATTTGATTTGTTTATTTGGAGCTGCTCATGTCGTTTAAAACGTTACCTTGTGCGGCTGGTGTCGTCACTCCGTCCTCACCTCGTTGTCATTGTTTGTGTTGCTGAGAGCATCCTGCGAAAGCTGCAAAAGGAGCTAAAAGCAACGGCTCAAGTCTCACCGGGGAACATATAAAAAAAAAAAAAAAAGACGAGAGGTTACCCGTTCTGGGCAGGATGAACTGGCTCGACAATCATGCAAATCTTGCACGTGGTCTATTGGATGCAGCTGGCTATTCCCAACATGTTAATTACCTGAATGAAAATTTACACCCTCCTGACTCTTTACCCTTTACGACCTGCTTTTTTTGCATTGCGGTTTTTGCTCTTTCTTTATCACAGGAAAAGCGTTCTGGGACAAACAGCTGTGCTTGTTGAAGTGAAACAAACAATTCTGACAAGATTTGGTGGGTGAGGACATTTTTGCTCTGCCCTGTCCGGGATTTCGCTACCAGCCCTCAAAAGCATTCAGCGAAGATGGTAAGCAGCAAGCAGAAACAGCCGTTTTCTCCCTTTGCATCCTCTCCCCTCCCTCCCTCCTGTTACCACTGATTTTTTTCTTTCTTTCTACTTTATGCTTCTGTTGAAAATTAGCTGGAAGACAAAGGATCCATGTGTTGCAACACGGCATGCTAACTGTACTGGTGGGGGTGGGATTTCCGGTGCACGACCTGCCAGGCTTGGCTACACAGGTAATTAAAGCTCATTTGGATTCTTTCTACATCTCTGCTGACAGGGCTGCCGGGGGCGAGACTTTAGGGGACAAAGGTAGCTTGGCACGTTTTTGTTGGGTGCAAGGCCAATGTGATTCCAACCGAGCATGTGTGGGAGAGAGAAAGAGAAGGGAAAATAGGTACGAAGGAATATGGATTTTCAATCACGTGTGTGTGTGTGTGTGTGTGTGAATAGAGTAGTCAGGAGCGTTTAGGGGGCCGTGTGTTTAAGCAGAGATAGGCAGCAGCCTGTACAGGAGGCTTTGTGACCTAGATTGAGCAGAAAAGGGGTGATAAATGGGAGAAAAGGAGGAGTAAGAGACATGGCAAGGAGGAGAGGGGAGAAGGCAGGGTTCAGGATAAGAAATGGAGAAAGGAGTATGTGATAAAGAGGTATAGAGAGATAGAGGTGAAAGAAAGAAAGAGTAAATGACAGGAGGTCCCAAAGAGAGAAAAAGGAAATGGGCAAAAAAAAAAAAAAAAGGGTTGGGTTTCAAATCCAGCGCTCCCGACAGTGGCATGCCAGATGACCTTGGGCATGTCACGCTGCCATCTGTTCCCTCTGTCTGGCCTGTCAACATACCTCTGACTCCAGTTAAAACATGACATTCCAGCTTCCTCACACACCGAGGGGCAGTCCGTCGTCACCCGGAGCCATCGAGATAGAGAGACAGGCGGAGGGAGGGAACGATAGATACAGTACGGGAAAGAAAAGGAGTGACCTTTTCTCCAACAGCCCTATCTTCATGAGCTGATATTGTTATCAATGTATTACTCCCCCGATGGCCACTAGAGCTACAATAACGCCATTGAACCGGCAGTCCATCATCATAGGACAAAGAGGGCCGCTAACTCTGACATCCTTTGGGGCATTGGGTTGCAACTGATTGCACTCATAAATGAGCACGGCTCTCATAAAATCATGTGGTAACTGCTTAGCGGTGCACAGGGTGATGGCTTTTGTTATCAACAGCTCGAGTGCTACGCAGGCCGCCTGTTTGTACCAGCGTCCGAGTGGCCGGCTCCTGTTTTCAGATGGGAAGTTAATCATGCATTTTTGTTGAAATGTATTATTGCAGAGCAAATGATGGGAGGGAGAGGGAGGCACTTAAATTGTTTATTTTGATATTTTTGTATTTTATTTTCATACGAGATTTCTCCCAAACTATTTTCCTCTTATATTATTTGTCTTACTTTCTTCTGTGGGATTAGCATTTGGAACAGTTGGAAAGGACAAATCCGTTATTGGTTACGATCTTAGCAGGGCAGACCAAGTAACAGATATTTAGTGTTCTTTATAAAATAGATCCCTAATTGTTAATGCTGGGTGTATGCAAGAATAAAACCTTAAGGTTGCTTCTAGAACGTGAAAAAACTATATATCAGGGAATATCAAAAAGGAGGCTTGAGAACTCTTGAGGTTTCTCTTGTGCCCATGGATTGCTTTACTTCCATAAAAAGAGCAACTAATGTCCCCTATATCTCGAGAGTAGGTTACGTTTCCAAATATTGATTGTGTTGTCAGGGGCAGTGGATGCTTCATTCCTTTTTTAGATGTTAAAAACCAGCACCAATCGTTTATTTCAGTTCATAATTCTCATCACTGGATGGCCATAAATTATTATTCACTTACAACAGGTGTTTTTTTGGGGCGGGGAGTTGAAGGGGGATCTACTTGAATTCACTGCTATGAATATGAAGTTTGAACCCTTCTTTGGAGATTCCAAAACAAACCAGAGAGAGTGGAGAGACCAGTGTTATTTGGGTCAAGAAAAACCCTCCTGAAAAATAAAAGCAGCAAAAAGCTCAGTAAAATAATCCCTTCTACCGGAGCTACTTAAATCATTATTAAGTGCTATTTGGGGGAAAGTCTCACTTCCACCCTTGATGTCTTCACTTTCAGTTTGCCAGCAAAGCATCCCTGTTCCCTTATTGCTGCCAGGTGATGTGATGACGTTCGAGAAGGACCAGGGGAAAGAGTTGTGGGACAGTGCCAATATCAAGAGGCACAATGACAGCTGTGAGGAAATTCCCCACCAATAATGAATGTACTACTTAAGATTTTAGGTCGAAGGCTGAATAATACAACTTCTGTAGCTTATTACATTTCCCCTCACATAACCCCAATAACCTGGCAAACTACAGCATACTTCCCTCAGAGTCCCGCAACTCCAGGGATTAGGTGTGTGGGGGGGTGGTAATTCTACAAAGACCATGCCTTGCGCTCTCCTCCTCATCATTCAGTGACTGATACCTAAGGGAAGTGGGACCTTGACCCACTCCTGACTTAGGGAAATTGCTGTGACCTCTCTGTGCTTTTGGGAGGAAGTCAGACCTGGCACTGCTGCCGCGGCTGCCTCTTATGACCCCCCCCAAGACCTTAGGCTGCCCTACCCCCCCCCTTCGGGCCCTTTATTCACAAACCGACAGACGCACACGTAGCTCCTGCTGGACGGATTGGGTTACTCCTTAGAAACGATGCCTCCGTTTTGCACCCTCTCCCCGTTTTCATCGTGGGAGCCGAGAAATGACCCAGTCATTAACACCAGCAGCCTGCCTGTAACCAGCAGCTAAAAGGTCCGCATTCATGAGCGGCATCCTGGAAACCAGATGTTCTCATACTGTGGGAATGTGTTTGTGTGTTTATGCAGTGGCTGGAGAGAAATTCCAAGTGTTTAGAAACAGCAGATCAGGCCATGTGTGTGCTTGAGCCCCCAGGGCATGAGTGGTGCACAGGTCACCTAAGAAAAATTGGAGGTCGGGTGGGAGGATCACACGCATACACTCCTACACAATTTTTGTGCATTTAGTATTTCATCTTAATAATATGTACCTAGAAGATAGAAGACTGAATGACTGCCTTTATTTATTTAATTTATAGCAGCACAGTCATATTTTTTCAATACAAATTCATCAAAGAACTGTAGAAAGATGTTTCTAGACCCACAGTTATCTTCGATTGCCAAAGTTTTTGAGTTGTAACCCGCTATGAAACCGAAAAAGAAAATTGTTTCTAATGAAAGTTGACAGTAGGGTCTGTGATTATATGAAGCAATCAGGGCATTGTTTGGAAAAAAACACACTGTTGACAAGATTTTCAAACAACATTTCACAAGGGTGGCAACAGAAGTCTGCAGCGAATATCTCGAAACCTCTTTAAATTAAAACTGTCTGCATGTCTTGTTATTTGGATAATACCATTTCCTTTGTTTTGGTGAACTATTTTTAATGTGTTGCTAAATCAGCAAACACCCAAAACTTTATTTCTACTGGATGTGAAATACAATCTTTGGTCGGCCCATCAGACATCCCCAGGATGTGTAATGTTTATCATTTTCACCCATTGGGATTCCTCTGATTTTAGTCAGTGGGAGTCAATAGGCTAAAAACTAGCTTAATATCATAGCTGGGAAATACAACTCATCTTAGTTGACACCATAGGTTGGAATACTGTAAACCGCTCTTATTAAGGAGTTTTTATTCTTGTCTTTAATTTGTTTTTTCCCCCCACACACAGATCCAAGACAGAAGATACCAAATGCTGCCAACTAATCTTTGCCACCCACAGAAAAACAACAATGCTGCCAGGCCCAAAACCAAATGAAAATACATTGAATACGTTTCACAGTCAATTATTTTCTTCCAGTGAGAGCATCGCTAACACTGGGCAGAGCTGTCCCATTTTGAAGTGGCAATCCATTTTGGCTAAGTGATGTCATGCAGCCTGTCACGTTACTCTGTGTGAAGCAGAGGGCCGATTCCTCATCTCAGCGGCCGCTCGCTCATGGTGGGGACATACGACATTTCTTCTCATTTGAAAGGAAATAACGGGGCCAGAAACTGAGCTGGCAGCCCCAAACAAAACAAAAACAAAAACCTGCGCCCAGAGCTGCATTGAAGCAAGGACGTCTTTTAAAAAAAAAAAGTTTCATCTTTCTCCTTTTCTTTCATAGATATACTAAAAGAGCTGTGAAGATGTGCTCTGATATTACTTGGATTGTTTCACTTTTTGAGTTGCTATGTGTAGTTTTAAACCTTTGTGTGTACGACAAATGGACAGTAATTTCCAATGCACACCACAAAAACAGTAGCTGTGTCTTTGGTTGGGGAATAGAAAACCCCTCAGCCCATTTAGGTTGGCACAGTAACATATCTATTCCCTCTATTCCAATTTTCATGACCTGCTCACGGAAATCCTTACGCCAGAGACAGCTCCATTATTAGCGTGCATTGCACAGAGCTCAATGGCAGGATATTGCATAGAGAAGCATATAACAGCGGAGCAATTTGAGTCGGGCAGCTGGGCATGCAGGTATTGTAATTTTAAATCCTTTCTCCATTCCCAGGTCCCTGTACAGTAGGCAGTGTTTCTTCGAATAAGTTCAGGGGAACGTTTCTTTGAAACTATGAGGGGCAGAAG